CGAGACCCCCAGCCCCCTGGGCGGGAGCTGCGGGGCGGCAGGAGGTCACCTTGGGGTGCAGGACGGGTTTGTGTTGGGGGTGTCACAGCTCCCGGGGCGGTGGGGTGCCCTCCCGCAGCCCCACAACTGGGGGCCACGTGGGGAAGGGGGGAGAGCAGCAGCCCCAGTCCTTCATGAGCATCAGAGCATCCCCCAAAGGGAGCTGTGCACAGGGGGGCTGCAGGATGGGTGAAGTGGGGGGCTACCGGGACACCCCCAGAAACGCATCCTCCCCAGAGCCACGACGATTTTTAGGAAGCCACTGGCTGGCCCCTTGTTCGGGCTTCAAAGACTGGACCTCTCTGGGAGATGTGCACCCACTGCTCTGCTCTCTGGCCAGTGCCACCCGTAAAGATGGTATTAATCCTCACTGCCAGGCCCTCTCCTCAGAAGGGCAGGATTTGCTTTCCCTGCTCTGTTTCCCTGGTCTGTTGCGGCAAGAGCAGGGTGGGGGAAACTGAGGCACCATCGCGCCCCTCGCCCAGCACTGGCACATTGTGCAGCCTGGGACAAGGGTGGCTGGGGTGAGGGGCAGCGACACATGGGAGCTGTAGCTGGAGCCTCGTCCTCTTCGGACAGTCCTACATCCTGCCAGGGAAAGGCAGCAAATCCAGCATCACCACCGTCTCCTTGGGCAAATCATTCCCTCTACGCTCCAGGAGAGAGAGGCTGGATACTGCCTCATCCCGCCTTGCCCTTTCGGTACCCTAACCTGGGGGATGGGGCTGCCTCTGGGCTGCACAGTGCCGGCGTGGGAGACCCCAGCCCCCAGGCAAGCGGTGATACAAATAGACAATGTGTAGTGATGGAGGTGGGATTAAATGCGTTGGGGAGGCTCAGCTCCCTCCAATGGGTGCCTCTTTTGGGCCAATGCTGAAGCCCCGTGGACCAGCCTGTCCCCAGGACCCATCCCTTACCTGCCCCACCACGGGAGGCAGGCTGATGTGGAGCTCCTGCAGAGACAACTGCCCCAGCTGGGGGCTTGGGCAGCCTCTTGCGGGCATGTGGGCCTGGAGCTGGCTGTCGCGAGCTGCTCGGGTGGGAGAACACCGCGCCACATGCCACACAGGGGGATGAAACGTGCCGTCATCATCCTCCCCGTGCATCATGGCGACATGATGTTTCAGGCCAGAGCTTTGCACAAACAGCTTCCCCCTCAGTGAGGGTGAAACGCTGCCGTGTTTCACTGCGGGAGTGATTTAGGGGATAAAATATCCGCTCCCCGGTCACCAAGCCTGGGCCCTGCAGGCCCCTGTCCGCTTCCCATCTGGAGGCTGGCAAAATCCAAAGATGCTGAAAACATGGATAAGGAGAGCAGCTGGAGCCCGGGACACATCCAATCGGCCCCCAGTGCCGCAACCTAATAGAGATCCATTAGGTAAGGTAGCTTGCAGCCTCCAGAGCTTCCTGAAAGAGATAAAAAGCCAGTGAGGCAGAAGAAAACTGCGTGTCTCCAAAAGCCATGCTTTCCCCAAATCTCGGAGGCTCTCTGATGAAAGGCCCCATCGGCTGGAAGTTGCAGACATGGGGGTCGTTAGCACTAATAGCCAACAGCAAGCAGCATTGGCCTTGAGAGAAGCTGCGCAAGCGAAGTTTGCTGGCTGCCCAGGTAATGCCAGCAATCATTTCCCAGGCGCTGGGCGATCGCTCCCAACGTGTGTGTGAGCAGAGCCGCCCCAGGGGCCCGGAGGCTTTAGCAGACTCTTAGCAGGCAAAGGGAAAAACTGGCCAAAATCGGGGAGTTTGCTGGAAAATGGTTGCCTGGTGTGACCTGGGAGAAAGGGAATGGTTTTAAGGGGGAGAGTATGTTCACTGAATGTGAAGCAGCTGATTTAAAGGGTCTCTGGGAGTGAGAGGGAGGGAAGGAGGGACAGCCGCTCACAGGCGTTAGCTGCGTGCATCAACCCAGGAGGAAACCAAACCCAAGGGCACGGCATGGAGGAGCACACCCCCGGCACATCCCTGGCGTGCAGGGCAAGACCCCACAGGGGCTGGCTCCAAGTGGTGCTGGTACCAGGGGTTGCAGCCCGCAGCCCCGCTGAGCCGTCAGCTCGTCTTCGTCAAATAAGCAACCCGGCCACTAGCTGCATCCCAGAAGGGAGGGGGCTGCAGGAGGGAAATCATATAGCCCGGCATCCACACCTCTCACATCTCTGGGAATCAGCGGCAGGACCCGTAGGAAAACTCAGGTCAGCAGGTACCTCCAGAGAAAAAGCAAAGGATGTGCTTGCAACATCCGTGGGCACTTCTGGGGATGAGGATTTGGGAGAGGAGCTCTGGTAGGCTTTGGACATGAGCCTTGGAGGGTGTCACAGAAATATCCCCTGTGGTGGCAATGCCACCTGCACTACAGAAGGGTGTCTCTGTGCCTGCAGAAATAGGATATGGGCAGTTCAACACCGAGTGGGGAGGGATATGCTGAGCGCTGACACTATAAACGTTGTTTCTGGCAGGGCATGGCAATCTGGAGGAGATCCTCTCTGTCACGGCCAGAGGGCCTGACAGACCCAGATCCCTGCCGGCCGTGGGGGTGCAAGCCAGGCAGAGCTGCCAGGCCCCTGCCTGAGGAAGAGGAGGAGGAGGGAGCCATCACCAACGGGAAGAACAGCCACAGGAGCCTCCCTGAGCACGGGAGGCTTTGGGGCGCAATCAGCTCCCAGGAAAAGCCGGTGGTGGGTGGTCGGAGCCCCAAAGCTACCCAGGGAGCCCCTCCTAGAGCTGGGGAATCAGAGCCATTTGCCCAAAAAAGTGATTTTTGCCATGCAGGACCGAGCTGGCCCTGAGCCGAGGGGTGAACGGAGGACAGGATGATGCTGTGGGGTGGGTGCCCCACACCGAAGGGCTGTGCTGGGGCGGGAGGGCTCCTGCCAGTCAGCACCTCCTGCCCGTGTACCGAGGAGTGCTGCTGGGGTGGGTTTTGCCGCTTGCAAATCAGCAGCTAATGCCTGACATCATCAGCTGGGAAGAGCTGAAGGCGAAGAAAGGCTGTCAGGAAGAGCTTCCAGCATGCTCTGCAGTGCTGTCCCCTGCCTGGAGGCAGAGCAGAGGCAGAGCTCCTGCCACCGTCCCTGGAGGTACATGGGGTGCTGGTGTCCCCCGCACCTCCTGCCATCCCCCAGGACACCGCAGAGAAACCTGTTCCCCTCCAAAACTTTGGCTACTGAAGCTGGTGCCGTTACAGCCAGGGATAGAGCTGGGGAAGAGGATCTCCTTGCATTTCCCATTCACTATGGGGGAAATTTCTTTGGACATCAGCATCCCGCTGGGAAGGCCTGAGGTTTCCCGGACCTACTGTCTGGGACCGGGATAAGGGATCCCCGGGGTCGGGTGCTGGACTAACGCACAGTAAGATGCTGCTCCCCTCTGCACGTCCTCATGGGCTCAACAGATGAGGGAACTCAAAGGAGAGCTTGGGCTTCTGGTGTTGGTGATGGAGAGCTAAAGCAGGGGAAAGTTAAATGAATTTTGAGGGCACAGGGATGTGGTGGCATAGCCCCAGCCACCCTATTTCCAGCCCAACATGCACAAGGGTTTTATTCCCCTGCCTGTGCTTGAGGCTCTGGCTGTAAAACGGCTGTAAAAGAGCAACTGTGCCTCATAATGGCTTATAGAAAACACAGAAGCATATGTGCCTTTACCATTATGATCATAATTGCAAACATTCAAAAGTCGAGATTTGCAAGCTCCCAGTTTCCCAAAGGTGGCTGGATTTGAACACAAATGACATCCAGAGGAATCAGGAGAAAATCTGCTCAAAACAAGGGCTTATTTTTCATTTACGCTGCGGTATTGGCCAGCAGGATCCGGGTTGGCAGCCTGAGTTCCCCCAGCTGCCACTGTTACAGGGCAGCCATGCCCCCAGATACAGCCATGGAGACCCCCGAGCATCGACTGTGATGCCCAGGGTGCTGGCTGCATATGGACTTTGCGTATAGGATTAATCCCGGTGACTTTGCTGGTGGCAGGGGCCGCGGTGGCAAACGCTCCTCCCGCGCAGGCACTAGGTACCCAGCAGCTTGCTGGCGCCAGGGGCTTTGCTGGCGCTGCCTGGAGAGCAGCCTGGATGGGTGCGGGGTCTTTGCAGCCACCTTTACACTCACCCGAGCTTCAGGGCAGCCGGCGGGATGTTGGACTCAAAACCGTCCCCTCACTGGTACCTGCAAGCAGAGCTGGAACAGCCCAACCCCAAACCTCCCTCCCAAGCTGGGCTTGTGCGGCCGGTCCCTGCCGCTATCCTGAGGGAAGCCCGAGCATCCTCTGCGTTCCTGCTTAAAGCAAATTTCCACTGGCTTTTTCAAGTGGTAAAAGGCAATATAAGCACACCTGGACGTGATGGTGCACAGCCCAGCTTACCTGGTGGTGCTGCGGCATCCCTGACTGTGCTCCCCCCCACCTCCTCCACCCCCCCAGCCGCTCTCGGCCATGGCCACCCCTTATGCAAGGTGCTGATTCAAACCTCAATCATTTAGGGCAAAACACACGCAAACGGAGAAGGGATGAGAGCAGCCGTCCCCATGTGGGGCGTCCCTGGGGCGGGGGGACACTGCTGTGTGTAAAGGGGGGGTCCGTGGCAGAGTAGGCGGGAAGCAGCGGGGCCAGCCCTGGGCTGCTTTTGCCAACTGCGGAGCAATAAAAACCAGGCTGTGGCAGCAAAAGGGACCCAATGCTTTCTGCCCGCACTTCAGGACCCGAGATGGCAGTGGTGGCAGAGTGAGCTATTGGCGTTTGCTGGGGGTGGGGTGGATTTAGGGCGCCTGTTCCGGTGGCCGAGGCAGAGTCGGTGGGAGAAGGCCATATGGCCGGGAGCAGCGTGCAGCGTGCCGTCCCGGTGGCAGACTGGCAGCAGCGGGCGGAGCCTCTCCTCGGGAAGGGTGGCTGTGCCAAGAGCAGGCTCCGGCACAGGCACCGGCCGGCTGCCAGGTACGCTCAGGTGCTGCGGGAGGCTCGACGCCCACGGAGCGGCGCGGCATGCCCGGCGCGGCGGGACACCTCCGTGCAAACCAGCTGCCCCTCCTCATCCCCGGGCAGCAAGGGACGTGTGGGGGCTCGTCACCCCTGCCCAGCACGGGTCTGGGCCAGGCAGGTGTAACCATGCGTGTGGTTGTAGCAGGGTGTAGGTGCTGACAAGCCGGGGTGGGCATGGGGAATACGGGCTGTGGAAGGGGATGCAGCCATGTAAATGGGGGGGGGAGGGGAATGTGCGTGTCTGAGTGTGTGGTGGGAGATGGGGGTGCACATGGGGGGTGCACGTATGTGCACGTGTATGCGTGTAAATGCATGGTGGGGGGCTGCACGTGCGTGGGCACGTGCATACATATAAGCACCTGGCAGAGCGGTGCGTGCATGTGTCAATGCATGGTGGAGGGGTGCAGGCGTGTGCTGTGCGGCCCTGTGTTGGCGGCCATCTCAGGGAGAGGTTGGGTGGACGTGCTGTGCCTGAGGAGCCCCAGGGAGTGAGCTCGCCGGAGCAGCCGGAGCAGCCAATCTACTGCTAGAGCCCGCGCGCCGGGCAGGCTGGCCAGGGCAGCCAGCTGGCATCCAAACAGGGCTGGCTGGTGCCTGCAAACCTCCCAGCAAGCAGATGAAATCTCCTTTTCTTCTGCAAGGACAACATTTCAACATGGAAACAGAGGATGGCTAGCGGGACATTGGCAGCAGGAGCACATCCACCTCCTCCTCCGCCTGCTCTGCCCTGTGCAGGGGGACAGGATTCTCTAGTGGGGATGTGGAGGGACTCAGCACCTCCCTCCTCTCACAATAACCCTTTTCCAGCAAAGGCTGGCCCCAGACTTCCCACTCCTGCCCTTGCTTGAGGTGCAAAGGGTGAAAAAGCAATCAGGGATGTGTCCAGAGAAAGAGAGGCTTCGGGCAGGCGTCGGGTAAGGATCGTGAGCAGAACTGGGTGGGAAAGGTCCTTAACTAATACCAGGGAAGGGGAGGGGGGGCAGCAGATCAGGTTTGCTTTTCACATGGCAGAGGACAAGCGTGAGCAAGAAAGTAAAGAAAATGCGGAGGTGTGGATGTGCTGTCCCATGCATCGCCTCCACACAGAGCAGCGTGCTGCCTTTGGGACCATCACCTTCCTCCAGCCGCCCTTCCCTGGGCGCTG